CCTGAGCAGTTATATATTTTTATGCAGTAATTCCAGATGTTTTTCTTCACCAGAGTGTCTGTTGAGTACTGCAGTAGGAAAAAGCCTAGTTCTGATTTTACTTGTGCTTACTTCAACCAGAAATGTTCTAGGATTTTCTTGTAGAAAACTGCCCAATAGGCAAGAGCTAGGGGAAGGAAACAGATGACCTGGCTAAATCATACGCTGAATAATCAATGGCTCAGCCTCTTAAGTGGTTTTCTTTCTTTCTTTTTTTTAATTTATTTTTGAGACAGAGTCTCACTAATCCTAGCCCCTGGAACTTGCCTAGACTCTAGCTTCAAACTCAGAGATCTACTTGCCTCTGCCTCCCGAATGCTGGGATTAAAGGTGTGTATCATTGCACCTGCCCAGGGTGCTTTTTTTTTTTTGAGGTGGGCTGCCCCAAATTTTCCATCTTTCTGCCTCAGCTTTCAAAGTAGTTCAAATTGCAGACACATTACTCTCGGCTTTCAGTCTCTTTAACAGTTTTTTCCCCCAAGTGATCAGCAAAGAATATTTGCTTCATTTCAGGTCAGTCCCGAAAGATAACAGTTTTGTTTTTTAAAAGTTTTTGTTGTGGTTGTTTTGGTTGGTTGGTTTTTTTTTTAATTTTTGAAAATATTTTATGTGTATGAGTGTTTGCCTGAGTGTGTATGTATGTGCACCACATGTATGTGGTGCCTGTGAAGGCCAGAAGAGGACACTGGGTCCCTTGGAACTGGAGTTACAGACAGTTAGAAGCCATGTGGGTGCTGGATACTGAACCCAAGTTCTCTGCAAGAGCTGCCAGTGCTCTTAATTGCTGAACCATCTCTCCAGCCTGGCTGATTTGTTTTAAATAACATCAGATTGTTTTAAAATATTTTTTTGCTTTATTTTTATTTTATGTGTATGCACGTGTTGCGTGCATGTTTGCAAGTGCAAGAAGGCCAGTGCTCTTAACCACTGAGCCATCGCTCCAGCCTCATAACATCTGATTGTTGCTTCAAGTGTTTGGCATTTTGAAAGATGAATGTCTAATCAATGGATAAACTTGTATATAAAAAT